CCGCCGGGCACTGTGGCTCAGACCATGGGCGGCCGATTCTTCCTCAAATAGCAGCCTATGCTCCTGGGCATTGTTCCAAGAGATGTGAGAGTCAGGGTGAGACTGGAGTTCCTAGGATTTTGTATCGGTCAAGGCATTTTTAATTCAGGGCAATGCCATTCAGGCTCAGCAACGCCCAAAGGACTTTTTTCAGAAATTCTGGTTACCGTTGTAGAATAGGTAGGGAAACGGTACCGTTTTCCATTATCTGACGATGTCCTAATCCTGGCAGATTTGGAAAAAGAGGTGATCTCCAGCAGAAATAAGGTTCATGCTAGTGTTCATGTGAATCAGGATATTATTCTTCCCGCTCTCAACTCAGAAGGGATGGAAGGATGTTTGAGCCTAGTCCGGTGTCTGAGGACATATGTGGAAGGATGTAAGGACAGAAGGCTGTTTATGAAGCCAAAACTTCCTTAAGCAGACGGCTTGTGTTCACCATCATTAACGCCTGTCAAACAGCGGGAGTCTCCCCACCAAAAGGCATCGGGGTTCACTCCACAAGGGCCGTGTCCTCCTCATGGGCAGCAGCAGCTGGAGTTTCGGTGAATAAAAATTGCAGGGCAGCAACATGGGCGTCTAGGTCTACCTTTGTTAGCATTCTCGACTGGACGTCAGGGCTGCAGTGAATGACCACTTCGGTAGAAGTGTTTTGCTCTCTCGACTTGAAGTCGAGTGATACATTTATTTTTCGCATTCAATTATGTTTTTCTATGGATTTTGTGCCCACCCTTACTTCTGCTTGGGTAATCCCCATTTGTCAGCGCTGCCATGGATATGGCCAGGAAAACGGAAAATTTAATCATACTTACCGTAATTTTCTTTTCCTGATTATACTCTATGGCAGCGCTGGGCTCCCACCCTATGGAGTTTTTAGCTTGTTACTAGACTGGGGAAGTCAGCAGGAGGAGGGGCTTTTATAGAGAGGGTTAGGCCTTTTAAACATTTTGTTTTTTTTTTTTACTTTTTTTATATGTGACTTTTATTTTTTTTATTTATATATATCTTTTTTTGCACTTATTGTTATTGCTATTATATGGGGGGATAACAATCCCCCTATATAATAGCAAAGGCACACTGACAGGTCCTCTTTATGGAGACATTAGGGGTCTCTAGGACGGTCGAAAAAACGAGCACATATAGACGATCGGCGGGCTATGGAGCCGCCGATCGTCTATATGTGAAACACCGGTAACGGATTGGTGCATTGGTCGGGTCTTTTCTGCCCGTGCGCGCCCGCGAGCAGAATAAAATGCCGTCAGGGGACGGCAACCCACCAATGCTGCAGTGCCGTCCGTCTGTTTTTTTACAACGGGCGGACGGCAAGTGGTTAAACAAAAATGTGATTTACTCTAATACTTTTGGGTCTATCAAACCTTTTTAAGGGCTGTGACATGTATCTCATTTAGAAAAAAATCCTGGTAATTGCATATTAATATAATTAAATTACAACTTCACTTTTAATGCCACCCACCCCTCTTAGTGAAGGACAGGTACTAAAACACTTACCTTCATCCCTCCTCTTAAGATCTTCAATATGCAGCCATTCCCTGGCTCTGTCCATACTCCTCTAAATGTCTGCAAGCCACCATTAGTATAGACTAGCCACAGAAATAAATTGAGTAAGTAATGCACATGTGCAGCAGGCGCTGAGGTTGGCATGACGTTTTGGCTGCAGGTTAAGCTAGCAGGGCTGCACAGTGAAGGTCTCAGGAGGTGGGATGGAGGTAAGTATTTTACTACCTGGGCTTCACTAAGGGGTTTGAAAATATTACATATTGTATATATGTTGATATTCCCGTTCATCGTTTTTAATATTTTATTTAATACTCTGTTGAACTTTCCAAATTAAGTTAAATGTGCCAATTTGCTCAGGGCAAGGATTTACCAACCTCACGCTCTGATAACTGGCTGTTATTTAATATTGCCTGCTTTTCTGTTTAGGTGGTTCTTTCACTTGCAGGCAAGGATGTTGGCTTTTTTGCCCTCCCTGACCCCCCTCTAACATCAAGGCTCTGATTTCTGTATAAATACCCTCTTGAACCACATGACCTCTGGTGAAGGGCAGCCATATACGATGTATATACTAATATATATATATACAGTATATATGTATTATGCTGTATGTATGTCAGTGAGAAAACTTTTTTTTTTTTTTAGTTTAAGGAAGTTTAGTTTAATATGTTTTGAAACAACTATATCAAACTTGAGCCCCTATGGAATAACATTCTGCTTCACAGAGAATAAAAGAGAGGTAGAGTTATCAACACTTAACACATTGCTGCCTGTGAGAAGGAGACCATTGCTGTATTGTGAGAAGTCTGAACATCTTGCTATACTTATAGAGACCCAAACAGGTACATTGTTACAGTAATGTATGCTATTTCTTACAATAACTTTGTAACATACTGTTTTTTTAAAATGTATTATTAATGTTGACTGTATATATATA